AGAAATTTATTTATATCAGTCGTCTGTCTTGAGTAGTTATTAATGACTTGTGTTTGAGTGACAAGTCTGTCCTTTTCCCTGTCGTATTTAAAAGCAACCTTTTCGTCTTTTACAATCTTCAACTTTCTTAGAAAATCTGATTTCGCTGATTTCTCTTTTGGTGTTCTGTCGTTGTATTTACCGAAATGCATTTCGTCGTCAAACTCATCGTCTGTCTTTTTATCAGTCAGAAAATCAGTCCTTTTCAATTCCGTCGTTTTAAATGTTGCTCTCTTTAATTACCCGGGCGAGAAATCAAGCGCGTCCATGCCTTTTAGAGTTCTCAGACTTTCAGTGTTTTTCGCAGACAGAAATATAATACCGCCAGAATTTTTAATCGCACATGATATTTTGTCAAACTCTGATGGCTCAAAGTTACTCTTTGAGATGGCTGCGATCGACTCTTTCTTATTTGCATGTATAATCAATCCGTCGACTATTCTCACGGATAAGTCCCTCACGAGATCTTCTCCACAAATGTCCGCCCCCAGTTAGAAGAGTCGCATACATGCGTCGATTACTTCCTCATCTGAAATAAAACCGTCGTTACATGTGTATCCCCGTCTTTGCGTACACAATGCATGTAACAATTACGCGCGTAACCAGTCGCCTGGCTATGCCGCTCTCCCCCCCCCCCTCCGGACACGCACAGGGAAACGTAGAACACACACGTCCTAGCGCGCCGGGATAAAGTTAAGGAGAGATAAGATGGCGTCTTGGCTGCCCATACGTGCACGCACACATGCGGACACAGCACATGCGCGCGCACTCCGGGACTGTAGAGAGTGGAAGCGGGCCGATCGCCATGATTGCGCTGCGGTGATGGCGTCCCGGCACACGAATGAGGCCAGGCGTCCCCGTCACCAAACCGGTGCCCCGGCTGCCCGCGACAGCAACCACAGCACAACACCGCCAAACCGTCCCCACGCCCGCTCACCTCCTCTCCCGGGTTAAGTCCTAACCCGGAAGATCCCGGACGACAGAGGCCACATGCGACCACATAAACACATCCGCTGCCACTCGCAGTTACAGAGGGAAAAATGACTTACTGTTCACCTGGCACGCCACGTCTCTCATTGGCCTTTCCTCTCTCTCGGTTGACCGTCGTTCCTGCCCTTGCTCCTCCTGGCCCTCGTCGTCCGCAGCTCCCGTCGCTGGTGGCACCACCCCACCGTCGTTTGTCGGGCCGTCGACCACAACCTCGGCCTCGGACTCGAGATTCTCGCTTTGCTCACTTGCACTTATGTTCAGCAAAGAAAGAAAAAGAAAGGAGCTGACTATAACAAATAAAAGCCTTTCACTTCAGGGCTCACACAAAGAAGACGGAAGCACGAGATCCCCGGCACAAAACTACTCGCGAAGGAGAAAAGAAGACAGTCCCGCGCAGTGAAAGCGTGCTGGGCCCATAACCTGTCAGTATAGCCGTGTCCACTGCGCGAGACTGCTTCTTTACTATTATGTGCTAGGGTACAGGAAATTAGGTAAAAGGAAAAAACACACTGTCCGTTATATTTATAAAGTTAAACTGTATTTATTGTTGTACAGCCTTGCTGTCCTCTACATACAAAAACCCTTATCGTCGTTTATATCTGTCGTCTGTACAGGCTGGTAGCTTGTATTCAACTGACTTGTAGACCGATGCGCAGCATCGGTCATATACTTAAGTACTACTATAATTATATAGATGGCGCTCTGTGTAAACTTTACATACAACAAAAATTTTAACAAATTTTTTCAGAACTGATGATTTAAAAAAGGGGCAATTAAAATGGTTTTCATGGGATATTTAGAGTGGTTTCGTAAAGTTAGTTTTGTTTGCTATAACCTCAAAAAAAATTAATGTAGCCGTGATAAACCAGAGCTTGTTTTTTACTTATAAACATTGCATTTGTATTATTCACTTATTCACTTATTCACTTATTCACTTACAATTTGTAATTCAGTAATTGAAGAAGTAATGCGATTTTGTACGTCAGACAGTTTGAACAATGAAAAGAAAAATTAACCATTACATCGCTCTGAATGCCCGATGCAAAGCGCTCTGATTGCCCCACTTTTTCCAACCTGGCAGTCACTACGGTTTCAAATTTTTAAAAATCTTTTTAAATGCAGGTAAAAGAATAAACATTTTATTTGTTCGTAAATTATTTACGTATAAGTTACATTTATTTTAGTATCATAATAAAAATATCTTTCAATTAATGGTGTTTAAAAGGTAAGGCTGTGAAACAGCGCTCCGAATGCCCCACCTTATCCTATCTTGAGTTCCAAAGTACGTGGTGATTTAGTTTCGCCACTAGAGGGACATTTTACATGCTTGTTTTCTCTCAGTCTATAAGCGTGTAATCGCTGCCGTTTTCCTGGGGTGTTGTGGTATAGTAATCTTCAAAAGTGTGATTCAGTTAAATATTTTGGTCAAACATTATCATTGATACATCATTGAAAATCATCCCTGTGTATTATAAAAATGAATGAAGTACGGGAAAATCTCAAAAACAAGTACTATGAAATTAAATTTATGTACAACGCTTTCTTTTGGCTTGCACAATACAGGTATGTTATCAAACTTCAAATCATAGTATTTTTCCAATAAAGTGGCCCGGTCTTTCCAACTGTTGAAATGTCATGTTGTTTATTATTTCGAATGGTTTACTCGTTTTTTAAGTAGTTAGGTCTTAATTTTTGAAGTTATTATAAAGATCTAACATTTCGTGATGACATTTTTATAAGTACCTGTGTGTGAGCATCTAGTTTAAAGATTTAATTTTCAAAGGACTATGTGGCTAGTCTGTCTAAAATTTTTATTTATTAGAAAAGAATGTAGAAAGTAAATTAATCAAAAGAATTTTCTGACATTTATTTAAAAAATCTTTTTTTGGGTGCACGAGCGTATGTATGACTTAAAAGTATTAAAAGTTGTAAGCTATAAGTTGTATGCTATAAGTCATGGGTAAAACGTTAGGAGCTAATGAGATACCATTATTTCCAAATTTGAGATCTAAAATTGATTTTTAAGTGCGATATTTTTAGAAAAAAAATGCATTTCATGGAAGGTTTGTGATTTAATGCACAGTAAGCAGCCTCCCGTCTCGGCTTCGGCCGAGATTCACCGAGTAGAGCGCCGTAATATGTTGACACGCAATTCTAATTGAAAGAATATTTGTTTAGAACTCCTGCAGTTTTGGTCGAATAACTACCTGTAAGGAAGTTCAAACAAATTTAACGATGCTAAAATGTACCTTGCGTTCCTTACATTATTAAATATTTGATGGTCCTAAGTGGCTGTTGATTTGCACTTTCTCACGTTATAATCAACGAAAAGGGCCGTTTGTTAAAACTGTAAAGATTTAAAACTGGCAAGAAATGTATGACTAAAAAAATTTTTAACTGGTGAAACTTTTTCATTTAGCATCCAGTAAATGCCCATATCTTATACATTTTTTTTTTTCATTTTTATATTGCTTTTTAGAATGTGAAAATCATTTTTTCTGTGTTAAATAAAAATTTTTAGACATAAGAATATAAGTTTTAATAAGGAATATTGTTAAATCTGAAAAGAGTATGTAGTGTTTAAAAACGACTTTTCATGATTTTTAAAGCTTAAATTTGATATTTTTCTAGATTTATATATACTTTCACACTGTAACATTTTTAAAACTATAAATAACAGTATTAATGTTTTTGTGTTGTGCCACAGTTGTGATTAAGAAAAATTCTAGAAGGAAAATTTTTTTTTTACCAATTCAAGCAATTCTTATAATTACTATATCAATGTTTTTATAAAGCGGTCATTCATGGGTAGATGGTCATTCACTGGCAGTTTACCCCTATTTACCTAAAAAAACAATTTTTTATAGTAAAAATCTTTAAATTTGAATTCTTAGGTACAAGATTTAATTCTTAAGTGCAAGATTTTTTCAATTAAAGAAGAAACATTTTTCCTTGGTTAAGTTAACTTTATTTTATTGATTTTTATTTTTTTCGCAATACTTATGTCTGAGTACTCATATAATAATGTTTCTTGTACTTTAAAAACGTATTTTTTAATGAAGCAGATGAAATGTCAATTGAAAGAGCTTATTTGATGGATTTTTTTTTTTATGAGGTATTCTGAATTTATTCCGTACGTAAGTTAGCTTAGAGGGGATAACCAAATCGATCGAAGCGCCCATGATGGCGAAAATATTGTTAGTTCTCGGAATACTAAAGCCTAAATGATAAGCCTATAAGTGATTATAACATAGTAAAATGAGTAAAATAACACGTTTTATTCTCTTTTTGTCATCTGCTGCGCAAGCGCAGAGCATGTAAGTTTAAAGTCTTGCAGGCACTTTCGTGGTTACATGAATCATCATGTATAAAATTATAATTACTGAATATATCCTTGTCAAATATGATCATATTAACTCCTTTTTTACTTATCTACAACTTTTACCAACACTGTTAGTCAAAAGTATACTTTGACTTTAAGATTTCAGCGAAATGAGTTGCACGGTTTTTGACTACTTGATATACAGAGAGATTTTTCCGAAAGCTCACCCCATTTAAAACCATCAGAGGTCGCTAGCAGCAATTTACATGGTGAATAAGTGACTTCTTTTTAAAAAATTTTAATTGATACAGTAAAATTTATCCGTTGATGTAATGATATTCTTGAAATCTATTTTAGGGTGCTAAAAGGAAATCAGGTTTATTGGAGAGAGAATATGAGGCGTACGCGAAACGTTGTTTGCGTATTTGCACTTTAAAGACAAACGAACTTTTTATTAAATTGTTTATAATTCAGTCCGTAATTAAAAGCACATGTTCTGCAAGGATTTTTAAAGTAGTTTTAGTTTAATTTTTACTTTGGTGTCCATCAGCTAGCTTGAATCATGGTTTCTGTTCACATAGATGACGCACACTTAAAATTTTTTATTTTTTTTTTTTTTTGTCAAAATAATTCGCCATTATTTTTATAGCTTACGCTGGACTCTCACTTCGTTAATGATTTGGGTTTGGATTCTTTAGACCATGTCGAAGTTATAATGGCTATGGAGGATGAATTTGGCTTTGAGATACCAGACATGGATGCTGAAAGACTTACAACACCAGGAGCAATAGCACGTTACGTTGCAGATAGAGAAGACATTTATGAATAATTATTTTAATATTTTTAATATAATTTGACTTAGTCCTGGTCAATTTGCTTAAAAAAATAATCCATGTACATGATGTCTCCATCAGAATCGTTATTATGTAAAAAATCAAAATCTTTCTGCATAAATAAAAGTTTCTCCTATAAATGCAAAGAAAATTGTTCTTACAATTAGCATAACTTCTTTCTGGATGCATATCTGATACTTTAGCTATTTAAAGTTTTTATTAAAATACATCATATTCACATAAAAAATATTAATTTCACACGTATTCTGACAATTTTTTACTGTAATTAGATAAAGCTTAAAATTATTAGGCTTTACTCTTGGATATTGTGATGGAAAATTACACAGAATTTTTTACGTTTATTATGGTCATTAATATCTATCATTTCAGCAGCTTCAATAGTAATTTAAAAAATTTTTCTAGTGCTTTTGTAACAAAAACTGAAATTTTTCAATTTTTTAAGTCGCAGAATCAGTATCTTTTGTACCTACGTACTTGCCTCAAATAGAGCTTAGTATAACAAGTAGATGTTATAACTCAATCTATAAGTGTTGCCAATAATTTTTAAAAATGTATTCTTACATATTCCAAAATTAATCTGCTGTTAGAGCAGTTGATGCTACAGCTTATGTTGGAAGTTTGAAACCCTAAAAAAGTATTTTAACTTAAAGCAATTGTGTAAATTTTTATTAGCTTTTTGATTTTGCTTCTCTAACACTCCACTTCTTAAGGTTACTAAACAGATATGAAGCAGACTGTTCTTAGTAGTTTGATTTCAAAATTAAGTATCCTATGTATGATAGTATCATAGATATCGTCGTAAAAATATCTTAAAAGCTACAGCCGAATAAGGAGGTCAAAAGTACCCTCGAACGTATCGAGAATCTGATTTGGCCAATCAAATGGTCATATAAAAATACTATGTCAACCAAATTTTCAGACCACTAAGTCACTCCGAAGAGCTCCTAACCTCAAAAATCCGATATCTGCTTTTTTTATTTTGCAAGTGGTTGTGCACTAAAAGTTATTTAAAAAATTGAAAATGTGCAGTTGAACATTAAAAAATAACTCTTATTTTTACAGAAAAATTTCAAAATCAATGGCGCTCAGGAAAAATACTTTAATATTTCCATATGCTTTAACGTTCGAATTTACAAATTGGCTGACTTTTAAAACCATGGTTTTTACGTATTTTTTTACACTTTTTCAAACCACCATTAGAAATTCAAGTTAAAAATAGGTTAAATGGCGCGAACACAAGACGTCAGTATGGTACAGTCACTGCATTAAGAAGAAACAGCAGTTGCTGAGCTGTATACGCGAGCCTATCTACGGTTATACCATATACGTATATGTATATATTCATACTTCTGTGTGTATATGCATCATGCAGTGTTATACCTGTAGTAAAACACAAATTAGTTTTATGCTAGCCTAAAAAAGTGATAATTAATTTTATATGAACACATCTGTGATTTTCTTTTTAATATTATTATTATTATTATCATTACCATTATCATTCTGATTGTCATTGTCATTTTCATTATTGTCATTATCATCATTATCATCATTATCGTCATAATTGTCATCATCGTCATTATCAACACCATTATCATCATCATCATCATCATCATCATCGATATCATCACCATTATTATCATCATTACCATCATCGTCGTCATTAT